GCTCCGGCAGTGCACGTCAAAGGCTTTTCCTCCTTCCCTTTATTGTTTGCTATCTTTTATCTCATTTGGGTTGTATAGAACAAATTAACTTCTTACCTTGTTTCTTGGAATATTCAAACCCCACCATGAACTAGTCTTATTTGGAGAGAGTTCCTTATGGATACTTCATTTTTATTTTAATGGATGATTGTTTTTTTATGATGTTGTTTGTTTTGTTTATGATGTTTAATGGCTTGAGGTTGTAGGAGCTATGAGAGTAGTCATTCCTTAGGAGATTGCTTAGTGTTCGAGAGAATGACTAAGTAGCATGTCCTTAGTGTTCGAGAGAAACTAGGAAGGATCCACATAAGCAATGGGTTCTAGGTAGTAACTAGGCCTAATCCAACCTTAGACATAGGGCTAGGATTTCAATTGACTAAAAAGAGGAGTGCTTGATCGAGAGGTTAGATGTTAGTGCTGCCACAAAAAGGTATTGCCGTGACATATCCTGTTATATGGACATATAGGATCCCTGCACTTGTTAACGCCAATACGTTTGCCATGGCATCTAAAACCTGTCGAGTCCCTTGACTAGAGATAACATAGGGCACCCTTAGTAAACTATGTCGGGCAGATAAGGTATAGAAGTAAGACCATCCTGAGAAGTAGACTTAAATTTCCTAAGTGACTCCTGTCATTCATTCCCATAGTAGCTTGTTGTATGAGGAGTCTAAAGTCTTGAAAATCAAATCCAGTATTTACAATTAGTTTTGCCTTTACATTTTCATTTGATTGTACTAAACACAATTTAATTTGTCATGGCATCTCCATTTGCTATCATATTACCATCATTCCATTCCACAACATCCATTTTATCTTTCCACAACATCCTCTTTTGTAAATAACATCACTAACTATACTTAGGTGAAATAGTAAATTGTTGTGATTAAGCTTATAAATTTCCTCCAATCCTTGTGGATACGATACTCACTCATCACTGTATTACTTGTTTGATTGTGTATACTTGCACATATTTTCGCGACCATATTTAGTAGTCACAATTCGCGGACAATGTTTCATTTTCAGACAAAAAGATCTCTAACGTTTAACTAAATAGTCATTTTAGCCCTTATTCTCTTTTTTTTAACATTTTAGTCCCCAACATTGAATTTTAATCAAACGTAATGGCATTTTTTTATCATTATACCTTTAAAAATTAACAAAAAAATGAATATTAGATTAAAAAATAAATTTTAAAGTACTTTTAAAATAAAAATACTAGCATTTATTTATATAACTCGATAATTATACGCAAGCATCTCTAAGAGAAATGATCCACTCGTTACTTGAAACAACGTTCCTATTATACATGGCTTCATGAAGTATTGGGGTTGAAACCCCCATTTATATGCCATTTTTTTATTTTGCTTCAACTTCTTCAAGTAAAGGATTTATAAAAACGAACGCATCAAGTAGTCTAGATAATTAAAGCAATTGCGGATTTATGAATATTTTTCAGGGTAAACACGCGTATACCAATAACATAAATTTTTTGTATGAGGTAGACACAAATAAAATTTTAGGGTGAACATCTTTAATAAAATGAACGGCTAATATAAAGAAATCAGGATTTTAAGGTAGATACGTATTTACCCTGGACAAAGCCTATATCTCCCACTAAATTAAAGTGAGGACTATTCTCTATGATATTCTTGAGTTCAAGCAATTTATGTGTGCTCGAAAAATTTAGGGTTTACCTATAAAAATCTTGAAATAAATTGAAGTTGGTGCAAGTTGTTAACGAGAGAGATTAAACCCAGACCCCCGATATACAATGCGTGTACATTAAAATGAAGTGGGAACTTTAATATAATAAATAGCTTTGTTGGGAAATGTAAAAGGGTCATCATAAAAAATTATACTTCCTTTACTCACATTAAAGCCAAATTGAGGCAGCTACCTGTATTTTCAGTTCATCACTTAACAAAAGAACAACCCACCTTCGTCTAATTACTATTACTCTTCAAATCCCAACGCTCATGTTTTCCATCATGGGTCCAGAATTTTGAGATTGACTGCCGGCCACCCACCCTACTCAACCCCATTAACAAGCAACATAGGCAACTCAGTCACGTTTCAATGAGTGTAAATTAACAGTGTTCGGTGATTATTCATAAATAGTTCGTATAACATTTATTTATGTTTGTTTATTAATATAAATAATGAGTATGAATAAAAATTTAATGTTCATTTAATAAACGAATGAATACGAATAAAGGTGTATTCGGTTTGTTTATGTTCACGAACAAGCTTGTTTATCAACTCGTTCATTTATGTTCATGAACAAACTCGTTTAGAAGCTCATTTACCTTTTGTTTTTTTACATTTTAAATATTGGTGAATGTAAGGGCTAAAATGAACACACGATAAAATTTAGAGTTTAAACTATGAAGCTTAAGGAGTTTAAGCACTGATGACGTAATTTTATAAACGAACGCAAACAAAAGTGTGTTTAGTTCGTTTATATTCACAAACAAGATCGTTTATGAGCTCGTTCCTTTATGTTCATGAACAATCTCGTTTAGAAGCTTGTTTATTTTTTTATTTTTTACATTTTAAATATTGATGTATGTTGGAACTAAACTGAACACATGATAAAATTTGGAGTTTAAACTATGAAGCTTAAGAAGTTCAAGAACTAGTGACATGATTTTATCATTTTTAGCTTAAAAATGAACATAATCGTGAACGCTAAATAAACATGTTCATGAATATATAAACGAACATGATCGCGATCATATTCGTAAATGCTAAACGAATTAATACGAACACTTTTAAAAATAAATAAAAGAACATGAACATAATATTAAAAATTTAAACGAACATGAACACCTTTAAAAATAAACAAACAAACACAAACACAACATTGTTTGTTCAAGCTTAATTCATTTACACCTTTAAATGCTCATTTCAATTCCAAAACAGTAATTTCCAGCATAGTACATCAGGCAATTATACAACCATTCACAACTTTTCTAAAATTACCGAATTTGTCTTCTAACTTTTCAAAAATTATTGAATTGGTCTCCTAACTTTTCAAAATTACAAAATAATCCCTAAATTTTCTAAGGCTTGCAAATACTTCCTACATCATTTCTAGACCTTATATAATTTTTTTCATAATTTTTCTCACTCAAATACATCATGGTCGAATTCTTTATCCTTTAAAACTATGTTTTCATGATTTTGCTCAATTTTGATTCGATTCAAGCATGAAATCAACTTTCAATCAACCTTATAATATCTCTTAAATCAAATCCCTAATCACCTCTTATCAGAACACAAAGTTCTAAAATTTCCTCTTTTGGCCGAATTTTAAAGAATAATTTCTAGAAAGATTGAACATATTTTAACCATAAATCAAGCTTGAAAATGAATCTACAACCTCTAAATCATCAAGATTTATCATCATTTTCATGAATTCTATAATGAACATAAACCCTTAAATTTGAGATCTTTGAAATCCAACAAGATTAGAAAGCAACATTGGTACCAATTGATATCGTTTTTCGCGTAGAGCAATTTTCTATTTCACGACATAACTCGAAATCCAAAGAAAATTGCTCAAAAATGAAAAAAAAATATTCTTACCTTTGAGAGAAACCCACGACCATTATGATGAAGAAATTTTGATAATTCTTCATCTTTTTTAATATTTAATGAATTAGAAATTCATTAAATGCTTAATTACCAATTTACCCTTAAAATTAAAATATATACTAATTTACCCTTAATGAACTTGATATTTACATTAATACCAAGCCACAAAAACCTTATCATCTTCCAAAGTCAAAGATGAACAAAATATTTTAACAACTTTACCATTTTGCCCTTGTAATTTACGAAACTTACAATTCTGTCATTTTAATCCAACAGTTCAAATTAAACATAGAATTAAACCCTTAAATATTATTTTTCAACATTTAAAAATGTGAAAATAATATATTTATTTTCTTATTTTCGAGACCAATTGTACTTTTTTTAAATTATCATTTTGGTCCCTAAACTTTTCAAAGTTTATACTTTGATCACCAAACTTTACAAATTTATAATTTGGTCACTAACTAAATCCATTTATGAAATAAAATTCTCTTTGGGGAAAATACCACTTAGGTCTTTAAACTTTTCCCAATATTCTACTTTTACCATCAAACTTTTAAAATTTGTATTTTGGTCACTAGTCCGCTTTTTGGAATGTTACAAGCACTAGTGGCATGATTTTATCATTTTTTAGCTTGAAAATGAACATAATTGTGAACGCCAAATAAACATGTTCATGAATATATAAACAAACATGATCGCGAACATATAAACGAATATGTTCGCAAATGCTAAACGAATGAATACGAACACCTTCAAAAATAAATAAAAGAACATGAACATAATATTAAAAATTTAAACGAACATAAACACCTTTAAAAATAAACAAACGAACACAAACACAACATTGTTTGTTCAAGCTCAATTCATTTACAACATAAACCACTTAGTTATTAATTCTACGTCAGACATCGATACTAATGATCATTATAAAACCTCTCTATCAAAACATATATCTTTTTTCGCTAATTTCTCTTTTACCTTCTTATAAAGATAAAAAAAAACTCAAACACCGTTCAACAGATGCATAACTAATTACAACTCTCTGTTTAAACCAAAAAATATCAACAGTAAATCATCAATACTAACTCATTTGTTCCATTAAGAATAATTTTTTGTTCAAAGCTCAGAAAAACAAAAAGAAATTGTCCTACCCTAAAGCTGGCTAACAAATGACCCATCTACTACTAAAAGGTTTGCTGGGTCTTTTACATAATATATATAATGTCAAAATTACTCAAAACTCCTGGTAATTAATTTAAAGACTATTACATATTGAAATGTATTCCAACAAAGTTTCACTAGTCATCAACTAAAGAGCGCCCTAAACACACTTTTCACCCATAATGGAGTATACTCTGAAGCTAATGCCCCTAAAAATTGTGGCATCAGCAGTAGCTAGAAGTTACGTGGCCTGAACCCAAAATGCAGCTTAGAGGAAGCACCGGCACCGGCACCAGCAGCAAGCTTGACGGAGAACAGCCCGTTCCACATCTCAGTGAAAGCTCTAACGATAATCTCATGGCAGTAGGGAGAATTCAGCTGCAAGAAACAGTTTAGAAGATCCTTTAAATCATCTTTGGAATATATATGTTTCTCCAATATCATTTGCAACATGGAGTGCCTGAAATCCAAATAAGGGTCGTCCGAGTCCTTTTCCACCGCCAGGCTCTCTACTCCGACGCGGCCAAACCCTCGTACGGTCGCCGTTGGAGACGTGGCGTCGTTATCAATGTCCCTGTCTGTGCTTGGAGAAAAAGAGGTGGCAGTTTCGTATTCGGAGAAAGAACAATGGGTTGTTTTCTTGGACGAGCTTGAAGAGGAGTAACCGTAAGGAGAATGGGTTTTATAAGGAGGTTTTGGTTTTGGGTTGAAAACACTAGTGAGCTTCAGTTTCTTGCAGCTGCTGCAGCACCCTAAGCTAACTGAGAATGTGTTAAAGACCAGCTTTCTTCTGTTGCTCGACATTTTCAAAACAGATAGCTTGTAAAAGAGTTAGATTGAAGAAGGGAAAGAGAAAGAAATTTGTAGAGTTTTGATTTTGAGTTCAAAAGGAAATGCTGATTGTGTGAAAATGGTGGCTAGGGTTGGTTTGTAGTTGGGATGAGGCAACTGAACGAACATGAAGAAGTTGCCCTATAAATATGCTGCACACGAACTTTATCACATCACAACCGTCGAATTTGAGTGGTACTATTTTGGATAAACTACGCATTTAGTACTTAAACTATAAATTTTATGTGTTTTAATATCTAAACTTTCATTTTTTTTCAAAAACATACCTAACGCTTAGTTTTTGTTTCATTTTAGTATCCACCGTTAAAAACGTAAAGAACAGGTTGATGGGGCATAGCTCTGGTGGACGAACGACCAATCCGAAAGGTGGACCATGAGAGAATGACGAGTCGACCAATATAGTCTAATTTCAGGCCTATAAGACGGTTGACAACATATATCAGAGGATGAAGAAATCGAAGAGCTCATCGTTGATTTGGGGAGATTGAAGTGTGTCCCGGTGAAACGGAGGCTAGAATCGAGTTTAGAGGGTCGAGAAGGTGGGGGCTGGAAAGTTTGGGCTTCATTGGCCGACGAATGTCACGCTCGACGACTATATTAAAAATTGAAACAAAAACTAAACGTTAGTCATGATTATGAAAAAATTGAAAGTTTAAGTACTAAAAAGGATCAAAACTAATAGTTCAAGTGCTAAATGTGTAGTTTACCCTATTATTTTACTAAATAAATTCAGTTTTTAATTTTCATAAACGATGCAATTGTTTGGACAAATTATTTAAATATTTTTTTATATTTTATTTCAATATTTTAAATAAATGAATTTTGAGTGAAATCAAGTTATTGTAATATATTAGGTACAATAATAGTTAAATTGTCAAAAAAAAAATCAAAACACTATATGATACATACATAAATTAACATAAATATAATACAATACCAATACTACTTAAATCTATATAAGTTTATGAGACTTAGTGTAAAGACATTCAAAATAACTTATATAATTTAGTGACAAATTATATAAAAAATATCACAAACTAAGAGATAATATAGACATGACATAGAAATATATACTATATGATACAAAATTAATTAAGATTTCACATAAAAGAATCTAATGAGTGATTCTAGTAGTACATAGATAAGAAGTCTCATTATATATGCTGCATAAGAATGCCTATTGTATCAATTTGGTCTTTTTTTTTGACCTTTTTTCTAGAAATTAAATCAATTAAAATGTTCATTTAACTGCATCATCTCATCCAATTCTAATTTAACTCATAACTTATAATTAGAAATGAACTAAATTATTCAAATTTAATTTTTGTAACTTTTGCAAAATTTTAGTTTAGTCCTTAAATTTTTGTATCCTCTACAATTTAATTCTTTTTGGACCCCAATTTGAAAATATTTTGATATTTCGATATAACAAATTAAGTGTTATTGAATTTTAAGATTTTATAAATATTTTTTTAAAGTATATTCAATTAAATTATTCGAATATCACAAATATTACTCCAAGTTTTTCTAAGGTCAATTTCAATCCTTACTAAAGTGTAAAATTGTGTTTTAAACTTAAATTATTTTTTGAAACAATTTTTGTAAAGTATTTTGAACCTTAATCGAGCCAAAAATCAATTTTATGAAGGGATGTACCGATGCACTCCATGATGCATCGATGCATACCCATTTCGAATGCATTTTTTGTACCAATGCACAAGCCATGCATCGATGTACTCCTGGCTCTTTTGAAACATCGAATGTAATTAGTGTACCGATGCACCCCTAGTGTACCGATGCACTAAGTCTTATAACAGTCGAAATATTTGAATTTTACACATAGTGTACTGATGCACTTTGAGTATGCATCGATGCACACACGCTCCCAACTGTTTTATTTAATTGTTTTCACACAATAACGATTCTATTGACTTCACCAATGATCCCCCAACATTCAGAAGTGATTCAAAGTGTATTTAAACAAGCTTAGGAGCCATTGATCAATAACAATTAAGAAGAGAAGCTAGAGAATCAAAGAGAAAACATCAAACCTCAAGTTTGAGCATTTCAAGCCAAATTTTCATTCAATATTCTTTTTGCTTTCAAGAACACTTATTGTGCTCAATTGTATTCATTTTTTAGTGTTATTTCTTTGTTCTAGAATTTTACAAACATCTTACCTTGTGAGGTTTTTATGTAAGTTTGCAAATTTGTATATTTCTTTTTGGGAGAGAGTGTTCTCAAGAATTTGGGGTATAATTCTTGAGGGAGTTGTAAGGTTACTCTTTGTCCTCAAAAGAAAGAACAAATTAGTGAATTTGTTGGAAAATCCTTAGTGTGGATAGCTAAGGTAGTGGACGTAGACTTTGGTTGGGAAAGTCGAACCACTCTAAATCGTTGTACAAATATTTTATATTTTCTGCAAAAGCTTCCACCAAAATTTTAATTGTCAATTCACCCCCTCTTGGTTATTTCATCGATTGATTAACTCAACAATTGATATCATAGCCTCACTCATTTGAAGGTTTAATCACCTTTTGATTCGATTCGAGAAGAGTTATGTCAATATTCAAGTCATTAATGGCCTCCACTTCAAACTCCAAATTTGGTCTTGATTTATGCCCGTCAACAAGCCTCATTTCTTCAATGAAGCTAATTATGCTTATTGGAAGAATAAAATGAGATATTTCATTCAAGCAAGTGATATGAGAGCATAAAATATTATAGAAGACGGATACTTCATTCATTCCACTCATTCAAGATTGTGGAGTGAAGCAGAGATAAGAATGTTCCAGCTCAACTCAAATGCTATCCATATTATTTTTTTTGCTCTTGGTCAGATGAATATGGAAGAGTTTCATCTTGTACAACCGCCAAGGAGATATGGGATAAACTTCAAGTCACTCATGAAGGCACAGATGAGGTAAAAGAATCTAAAATTAGTCTTCTAACTTATAGCTATGAAAATTTCAGGATGAAACCGGATGAAGATAAAAAGCTATGACGGATAGATTTTCCACAATTGTCAATGGTCTTAAATTATATGGAGAGATCATTCTAAACGATAAGCTTGTGAGAAAGTTAATTTACTCTCTTCCAAAATCTTGGCAATCAAAGAAGACGACAATCATCGAGGCTAAAAACTTAAAGTCTTTAACTCTTGAAGAGTTAATTGGTTCTCTCCTCACTTATAAAATGATGCTTCAAGATGAGGTAGACCTCAAGAATATTGACGAGACAAAGAAGGAGAAAGAGAAAAAGAACGTGGGAGTTGCTCTCAAATCCACAAAAGATGAGAGTGATTTGGATGAAGATGACGAGGAAATGGAATTATTTTCCAAACGGTTCAAAAAATTGATGAAGCCCAACCGAGGAAGAAAATTCAAACGAAATGAAGGCTTCAAAAACGAACTGAAGGAGAAAGACCCTATTATTTGCTATGAGTGCAAAATGTCGGGTCATGTCAAATACGATTTCCCAGAATTGAAGAAGAAGGGTCAATCGAAGAAAAAACACAAGGCTCATGTGGCAACATGGAGCGATGATGAAGGTTCCGATGAAGAGGAACAAGAAGTAGCAAACTTGTGCTTGATAGCCATCGGGGAAAGCTCTCAGGTAACCTCTAGCTCATTTAATTTTGAAGATTATTCTTTTAATGAGCTATTAGAGGAATATACCGGGTTGGCTTCGGATTATGAGAAATTATTTTTAAAATACAAAAATGATATTTCAAAATTGAAAAACGAAAATAATCTCATATCCAAGAGCAACAATGATCTTGAAAGTAAAATCAAAGATTTGCAAATCAAACTAGATGAGTTTGAAAAGAAAAATTTTGATTTGCATAATTTACTTTCAAGAGTAAATGATGATCATCAAAAGAAAATTGATCTTCTTAAAAATTATTTTGATAAAGTTGGAACAAAACGTTTTGAAAATGGAGAAAGTTCAAAATCCAACTTTGTTAGAAAAAAGTTTTAAAAACTACAATCATAAATGTCCCCGAAGAACCTCTAATAGAAAAATCGTTAGAAGCATATGGGTTCCTAAAGAACTCATTACTACTAAAGATAAATATATCCTACACAAATGGATACCCAAGGGGGCTAGAATTTTAGAAACTAATGAATATGGACCCAAAAGAAATTGAGTACCAAAAATAAAAAATTAATCTATGTTTGTAGGAAAATGAGCATTGCTACAAGGAACGGGAAACAAATTCAAACTCATGGTACCTTGCTAGTGGATGCTCAAGACACATGACAGGAGATAAGAGTCGGTTCATACAGCTTAACGACAAAAATGGAGGAGATGTGACTTTTGGTGATAATTCAAAAGGTCACATTGAAGGTATAGGTACTATAGGTATTACCTCTTCCATACAAATTAAAAATGTGTTATATGTGAATGGATTAAAGCATAATCTATTGAGTATTAGTCAATTATGTGATAAGGGATTCAATGTCATGTTTGAAACTAATGGTTGTAAAGTCATTGACATTGCATCTAATCGAATTATGCTTGTTGGTCATAGAATAGGAAACATTTACATGGTGCATTTAGATTCTATTAATATGACTTATTTATGCCTAGTTTCTAAGGATGAGCATGATAGTTGGTTATGGCATAGGAGACTAGGACATACTAGCATGAGTGTTTTACAACTACTAATTCAAGGAGATTTAGTAAGTGGGTTGCCAAAGCTAAAATTTGACAATGATAAAATCTATGATGCATGTGCTAAAGGAAAACATAGAAGAGTTTCCTGTAAGTCCATTAATGATGTATCAACTAGTAGAGTATTACAATTAATCTATATAGATATTTTCGGGCCAATTAGGATTGTTAGCTTGGGTGGAAAAAATATTGCTTTGTATTGGTATGTGATTATTCTAGATATACTTGGGTTCTATTTTTAAGTACTAAAGATGAAGCATTAGAAAAATTCATCACGTTTTCAAAAGTAATCCAAAACGAAAAAGGTTACTCCATAACTAGTGTTAGGAGTGATCATGGTACTGA